TGGTTATTTTAGTTAAGAAAATAGTCTGCTAAATGTCCTACTATTTATATAATTAACTAGAGGTATGGGGAGAGTAACATTTTGGGCCATCTCTGTCATCTTTCATAGCCTTCACCCCATGAAGAAGATGGAGATTAGTAAATGGCAGATTGGGGTTTGAATGTACATCTGAATGATTCCAAAACCTGTGCTCTCAGTGTTAGATCAAGCAGTGATGGTGAATATTATTTTATCAGATTGATACTTGTGATTCTTAAAGCTATTATTTTTTTTTCTAGAAGGTCCCCCAAATAAACCTAACTGAGCACTGGGCTGCTCCTCAGCAATCCAGGAAAAATCGTAAGCTATTTGATAATGACTGCCTACTCCTGTGCTATTCACTGGTTTGAAGTTGTAGGTATTTTTATGTACAATTGACTTTGTTTTTATTGTCGTCAAAGCAAAATATGGCATTGGGGAACCAGGAAACAGAACCTTGCTTGATGACACTATTTCTGATCGTGAGAACAAAGATGTGGTTAAAACCCTTTCTGAAACATCACTCAAAATCCAGAGCTTTTCTCAGTCTTCCTTTTCATCATCAGCACCTGACCCAAAGGTAAGATCTTTCTTTAAATACTTTTCCCCATGCTTTTAGTCACATATGATGGCAAAGATCTTAGAAATATAGGGCCATAAGATCATACTAGAAAACACATATAATAGGAGAGATTTATGTACAGAATTGAGCTTTATAAAAGTTGCTGGGAGTAAAATGTTCTTAGGTATGTCATTTTAGAAGGAAAGAATTAGAAAACAATAAAAAATATAAATATGAATCTGAGATTGAATGAGAAGACTCATTTACAAGGCAGGATAAGACTTCCTAATAAGATTGAATAAGAGAGTCAAAATCAAACAGTATAAAAACGAGTTAAATGAGAGTAGAAACTGTATTATATATTAGAAATTACATACTTTTAAATTACCTATAATTGGTTTTCAGGAACTGAAAATGTGATCTTTATTTTTGCTACATGTAATAAAGTGATATCTCCTATTTAATCCTGCAAATCTCATATTCATAGATTATAGAGAACATTGTCAATGATCCCTGCAGTGGGTCTCCAACTCCTGAGAGACAAATACGTTGCCTGGGAGATAGGAAAGAGACAGAGAACAAAAGACACAAACCCAGAGACTCCAGAGAAGAAGCTGGGTCTTGGGCTGATCTAAGGTGCCCTAGGCAGCAAAGACCAAAGGCACCAGGGACATCCAGTATTTATTCATTATGAGTGTGGGAAAGAGGAGAACTGGGCAGGCCTCAGGACACCTGCTGATAACAAGTGGGCAGGCAGGGGCACTAGCATGTCTTTACTGAAGAGGACAGATGGTTAATTCAGGGAGGATGAATTTAGTTGGAGTCAGTTGACCTTGGCTGGAAGTGAACTCAGCCAATCCCTGCTACTTCATGGACTAGGACTGAAGTACTGGTAGCAGTGATTAGCAAAGGACCAACACTAGGCCTACTCTGCTATCTGACATGCCCATTTGTGTCACGTAAAACTTCGGTTGGACTCCTAAGATAATAGAGCCGAATTATAGAGGGGCAAGAAGCTTGTGGGACTTCTAGCCTGCTAATACCAGGCAGAGTTGTCTGCTACAGTAGATAATGCAAAATGAAATCCATTTTAAACCTTACTAAACTTATTATGAATTATTAATATTTGACTCTTTTATTCTTATGGTTTCTAGTTTAACTCGGTGCCTGGTGTATGTT